TTGTGAAAAGAGAGATGAAAAGAATTCATGAGATTCAAGATTCTTTAAAAATGTCAAATAAATTTAGTCAAATATCAACAAACATAAAATGAATTATGAATATCTATATGCTTTAGTATAAATAAAATAGTATAGTAAAAAACTGCTTGTAAACAGGAAAATAAAATGTATGACCATGTCACTTTAAACAAGTAAACCCTTAGAGACTGATGTGATATGTTTTATTTTCATATTTTATTATTTACAATGATTAATTATGTTTATACAGGCTTTAGAAACGAAATATGATGGTTATAGACGTTATAGTCTAAAATTTAAATTTCCGGGAATTCATGAACCTATTTATTCAATTTATAGACAATTTAACAGACTCTTATGGTTTAAGAAGTTTTTCTACCCAGCACTTATTAAAGCTCAAAAAAATTATAAATACGGTTTTTTATACTACATTATACTAATAATGCTTGAGAAACGTACAAAAATGTACCACGTAAATACACCTAAAATGAGTATACGAAGTCTGGCTATTAAACAACGAGACTGCTTATGAAAAATGGTTTTATTTTAAAAATTATTCCACAACTAAATGTTCCCCTTCAATATACTCTNCTTCCATCGACTCAAACCGGATTCCTTTAAGGCAGACTTTATCTTCGGAAACGAGTAAAAGTCGCAAGGTGCCAAGTCGGGTGAGTAAGACGCGTGTTTGAGTACTGGAGTGAGAGAGAAAATTGTACGTTTATCCGTTGCTCATGTTTTTCGTCACACATCGTTTTCGGCAAGAGAAAAAAACATGTTCGTTTCTAAACGCTACAAAAAAAATTCTAATGCACCAACAAAAACCCAATTTTGTACTGGCATAATAGACACTTCCAGCTAACCAGCGCTGTATTTGGTTTTCCCCTAATCTTTTTGAGACACTCTCTGCGCGCGCAGTCTCGTTATTTAATAGCCAAACCTCGTATATTTTTATTAAAAAGCGATTTCGTAAATTATGAATCAACCACTTAAACTCCATTAATACCTCTTAATTTAATATTTATACATAATATACTTATTTTACTTTATAAAAAACTATCACCAATAAAAACTATTTTTTTTTAGTATTTTATTAAAACGTCTAAAAGGATTTTCTGAAATATATCGTAGTGTCATACATGTTTAACTATACAAAAAAAAATAGTATAGCTAATTCATAAAATCGTTAATCAACCACACTAGACCAAGTACTTAATTAATTAATAAACGATAGGCAAATAATTTATAATATACTAATTGTCAATAACTCCAGCATCCAGCCCCATCATTTTACAAAGGTACTTATTTATAAATACCTGAAATCTACATTATTAAAATGGAAATTTATTTTCATGTTACCTAACATCTTAATTAAGTTTATAAATGTAATAATACATAAGAACATTGGAATATTTATAAAAGTGTAAATACATTTTAGATTATACCTATTGTACTTTTCTGAATATTTTAAGTTTTAATTATTATATTTTATTTTTTAACCGTATTTGTAACTTCTGATTATTATAGTTTTAGAAAAAAATACACATTTAATATAAGTGGACTAGCAAGTCAATCATATAATAATATAAAAACATTAATCTTATAATAATTCAAAATATCTACCTATTAGAGAAAATATAATTTTTATATATTAAAACTACTATTAATTTGATACATTTATAATGTAGTACAAAATATATTAAATGTATGAGATAATGATAAATATATGGGTATATTAGGTACCATAAACGTTCTTCTAGTAGATATTTGAAGTATGTATTAATGAAAATGAAATAATCTACTCATTTTTAATATTTTTACAATAACTATTATAATAATATAACCAAAAATTTAAAATAATTCCATGTATTATAAAAACGAGTAGGTAGAAGAACGTGAGGCAAAATGGTTTCATGAGACGAGACGAGAACATTTTAATATTTATGTCTTATTATAGGTCAAAAATAAATTTAAAGACTGGACATCTAGGATTTTTGGTCTTAATATCACTTGTCAAGCAATTAGTTTTCTTTGTTATTATACTTAAACAATTATTAATTTGGTTTCATAAAAGTAAAAGATATTACTATTTTTGTTAATAGTATTTGTAAGTCATTCTCATATTGCCGATGTATTAAAAATTCAATTAACTTATTATTAATAATGTTTATATAACGTACAATTACCTAGGATCTAGGTATAAATTACGGAATACAAATAGGTATGTATTCCACTACACCAAAGTCAATAACTTAACCTATCCAACAATTTAATATTTCTTTAAACTTTGACACGTACACGTGATGGTAAAATAATTTATCAATTTTACTTTAAAAAAAAAAAGAGCTGATACTGGGGATAGGAACAGCCAATGTTGAAAGGAAAAAGTTGGAAAAGTAGGATACATACGATTATTTTATTTATATCTGTAAGTAACGATAAACCATTACTTGATGAAAAACGATTCCGAACTCAATTCGGTACTACATAATTTGAAGTGCCGTAATTGTTTTTGCGATTTACGTTTAAATTTAATTTCAAAACGCTTATTAAAAAAAAATAGTCGTCCGGTGATTTTGGGAATTTTACCATGTCTAGGTAAATCCAATATAAGTCTTATTATTAAGTTTCAAGTCTCTACGTGTATTTATAACGAAATTAAAGCAAAAAACTCCCAAAAATTAAAATTCCTTAAAAGCTCAAAAGTGGCTCAAAAGTTTTGGCAATGATACTCTAAGAAAGTAAATGAAAAAGCCAACAAAAAAAGTATTTCGTGATTTTTCGGTTAAATCATTTTTCTGGTAGAAAACGTCGTCCGTGTTTTTATAAAGCAATGAAATCGTAAAATTTTACGTTTTTTTACGTTTTTCCCACCTAAGTGTTTTTATTTAAAAATGGCATCGAAAATCTAAAAATTACCCTATTCAAAGTACCATCAAGATAACTTGAGCTTTTAGAAAAGTTGCCACACGTAAAAATCAGAGCAAGTTTACTTGTAAAAAACTTGTCCACAGACTAGAACAAAGAACAAAGAAATTAACAGCATTATAAAACCAATAGCTCCCTCGCTACGCTCGAAATCTAAAAGAATCAAAATACCGACTATTATTTAAACATTAAAACATTTTAAGATTCTTATTCAGATCCGTATGTATATCTGAATTATTCGATTATGTATAAATTTGGTAATTTTTTTCGAGACTAAACTATACACTTTTTTAACCTATTATATTTTTAACAACTCGATTCTGACATTATTAAAACGATCTACGCAACTAACGATTATTATAATAAAATATTGCTTTTGCATCAGCTAAAATTAATAGACTGTTTAAATATTTAGTAAATTATTTATTTATTTATTTAAAAATTTAACGGGCTTGAGCCCTTTGAATATATGATTGATACAAATTGACAAATTACAAGAACGGAAACTTATAGATGATAAAGATAAACATTAACTTAACAAAGTACAATACAGAAAGCTAGAACTTAAATTAAGAATATTATAAAACATTTATACATCGCTATTACTTCTTAAAATTAATAAAACATTAAACTTAAATTGATCACGATCAAAAACAAAAAAATCGAACAATGGGGATATTTTGTTAGCTAATAATAGAGTGCGTGAGAAACAATTTGCACCATAAGAATACCATTATATGTATATAAAATACAATAACACGTTAATCTATACTAATATTATAAAGAGAAATGATTTGTTTATGTGTTTGTAATAGATAATCTCAAAAGCTACTTAGAAGATTTTAAAACTTCTTTTTCACTTACAAAAAGCTACATTATCAGCGAGTAACATGGGCTATATTTTATTTTCAAAAGAAATTAGAGATCCCTACGAAAATTGCCACAATAAGGTTTTTATGTGTTTTTGGTACGAAATTCGTGCATAAACAATTAGATATTCGAACTACTAATATAGACTAAGATATGCGTAGTACTAGTATCTAATTGTTTGTTTATTTATTTTTGTTTATTCATGAATTGCCTTGGTGACCTGGATGACAATTTGGTCGTCACAGACAAGAAAACTATTATTACTATGATTATTATTATTCCTATTATTTACACTATTATCTTGCAATAATATTGCTAGATAATGCTAGATATGACATTGCTGGATCAGCTAGTAATTAATAAAACATATTCTATTTATTTTTTGAAGGCATTGTGGTATTATTGTAAAGCCACAATATTTTTTTTTACATCATATTTCCAAATATTTCTAAAATATATATATATATATATATATATATATATATATATATATGTTTGCCTCAAAGGGTTAAAGTGTTAAGTGTCAACTACTTTATAAATATAGTGAAAAATTTGAATTATGATAGCTGTTTTTTTTTTTTTGATTTTATGTGACTGTCTAAGTCCTAACTATACACAGATACCTATATAATATGTAATATATATTATATATAGATACAATACAAATTGTTTTAACTAAATCATTTATGCGATGTACAATAAGGATTAAAATATATTTGTTTGTTTCTTTTTTTTTTTTTTAAACGTACCGATACTAACAATTTTTTTTGTGTCAACTGTAGTATTTAGCTGTTCACGAAATCGATGTATAACATACTATGTACAAAAATTTTTATTTTTCAATAAAAATTACATTACCTAAGCGCTATGTAAAATACCTCCTGTAAAAAAAAAAAAATCAAATCTAAAAATACCACAATGTCGTACAAACACAAATTATTATGCATGTAATTATGATTAGGCGTATATAAAATATTATTATTATTATATATTATTGTTATTAACTTACGGTACACGAATAAGTCGATCTAAATGCCATCGGAGTTATATTATATATTATACTCGTACAATATAATATTATTAGTTCGTGTATAATAATATAATAATAAATGGATTATATATGTATATGTGTATAATGCAATCAATAAGATATTTTCCGCGATGACATCGTGTACTAATATTATTATTATTATTATTATTATTATTATTATTATAATGCTATCGACGAGTTGAAAAAAATTATTAAATTCCAAACGTCAAAATCACTAATAATATTAAAATATTATAACGGTCCTATAATAACATTATTATTGTTGTTCTACCGTAACAACAATATTAAAAAAAAAAACCGACGAGATACAAACGCAAACGCGTAACGCATCAATTCCGACACAACGACGACGGTAATCGCACGCGCGCCGGCAACGTACGAATGCACTTTTGCGCGGCAACGTGTGCCACCCGTGCTGTACAACCCCCCCAAGATTTTCGCGCTCGCCTACGTTTTTGTTTTCTTCCGTCCGCCGCCGCGCGCTGGGCCGCATGTGCCAAACGACTCCGGCGCGCGCACCCATTATATACAGGGTGATTATATTCTATTCGTCGATATCGCGAGCCAGCGATTTAGATTGACCCGGACAAACCGGCAGACCGCGCTGGTTGACCAGTGGCGTAGCCGGCGGCGAAGGCGAATCCAAGGGCGGGGAGGAAGAAGAGGGGCACTAGGGACAAGTACTTTTTTTTACGAAATGTATAATTATCATCATTATATAATATTATATAATTATTATTATTATTATTGTTTATTTCTTCAAAAAGATAATGGGTCCCACTGAACAGGTTAGTATGGGGGCCCATGAGTTCATAGTTTATAATAGGGAAATATTACATTTAAATAACAATTTAAATTTAACTTTTTTATACAATTTTAGACTCATGAAACTAACATATAACTAACATATATAATGTAGGTAACAATAATTAATACATGATGACTTAATGTATAATAAAGTTTAATAAAATACAAATGCAAGCAAATAGATTAAAGATATACAAATATTTAAAGTTTTAAATTTGGTTCATTTTGAGACCGGTTAGTTATTTTTTATTTTTTATGTATTTTTGGTTTTACATAAAAATAAGTAGATTGAGTTTGTTTTCTGTACATTAAGGGAACAGTAATATTTGATAATTGTCTAGTGTTATATCCATAATCAATACTAGGTGTTAGATTATTTTTAATTATATAAACGACTGATGCCTTATAGAACAATTATTTTAATAATAGAACATTTAATTTTTTATACAGATATTCTGTGTGATACAAATGATTCTTTTTTAAAATAATTTTTATTATTCTATTTTTTATTATTTTGATTGGATTTAGTGTTGTACCGTAGGCACCTTCCCGAATAGTAATATCATAGTTAATGATGGATTCTATCAGAGCTTGGTATATAATTCTAATTTTCATAATTTCAAGTAAATTAATTAAATTTTTGAACGCATTAATTATTTTTCCGAGTTTTATTATTGTCTGTTTAATTTGGTCATGCCATTTAAGGTTATGGCACATTTCAATGCCTAAGTATTTATAAGATTTTACTGTTTTTAATGAAGTTTGACATACACAAGATTTTGGATTCGAGCATTCGTGTTCGTGAATACACAAGCTAGTTATATATGGTTGGTTTGAATTAGTTATATACTGTGGTAATAAATAAGTTTTATCTAAATTTAAGAATAAGTTATTTGCACATAACCAATTATTGATTTTTCTCAGGTCATCTGGTTTGGATCTTATATCGATGTTTAATATGTCATATGCGTCCGGAAAAAATTAAAACACATGATGAAATAATATTATATAAATAAACAATGAATCAATAAATAATAATATTAAAATCGAATCAATTCTGAGTTATTCTACTTTAAATACTTAAGAATAATAACTGCACGATTCAAAAAAAAGAAATTTCCTACACATGACTCTTATGAAACAGTCGGTATCCCCATAAAAGGCTATTATCCTTAATAGAATACCTCAAAAATGTTTCGTTCAAATTTCGATTAGAAACGTTACATTTTTTAGAACGATCATCTGATTGACAATTTGCGTCAAAACGTGTATAGATTTTCATTTGAAAAACCAAAGTTTTATCGCCACAGTATACTCCTTAAATATTTTTAAAAATCTAAGTATGCAAAACTATCATCGTACACTGCAATTAAAAATTTCAAAAATTATAATTTGAATTTGTGTATAATTTAACCATAAATATGAGGTGAGCATGCTTAAAAATCACCTTGTATATTATGTCTATACACGTGTAGTATAAAACAAATTATGTAAATTTAATAATAATAGTTCTTAACAATATCCTTACCCCCTCCCCATGATAAAACCATTTGACTGCTCTACTAAATTAGGATGAAGTTTAATTGTCTAGTCGATAGGAATGACTAGATAGAGACCACATACGATAAGAATACCCGCGGAAATTCATCTAAGGGAGGAAACAAGTTTATAACGATGATCTTTTTCATACAATCAGTTTCAATTTTTAATTTACCTATTTAATGTATTCCCGAAAATCCAAGAGGAAACTGTATTTATATATTAGTATATTAATACGATCTTATTTACTAAGTTTACAAATTGTTACCCTTATTCCGTGTACACCACATAATAAATAAGGAACACGTCATAGCTATCGAAGTTTGATGTTCATATAATCATGTAGCAATCCAAGTTTTTAAATTCACGTACGAAAAATAATATTTTTCTACAAAATTCGATATGCATAACACTATATTATTATAATATAAGTTATATACCGAGTTCAGATGTGGATATTTTCTTTTTTTTTATTTTCAAAATGATATATCAGTAATAAATTATTTATTTTCAATGGATTGATAGACATTAGTATATTTATTACTAGCATTATTTTTTTTTTTTTTTATTCCATTATGCTATCTTGAGTGTTTTTCATTTTTAAAATACTTAGAGTACATATTACAGTACTATTATACAGTACTTAAATTACTTACATTTCTGTATTTCTGTTAAAAAATTTTAAAATAAAAGTTACCTAAGGTCAAAATCTTCGTATAGAATCTATACTATAGATTATACATTCTTAAACTATGGTCCGCGAGAAATGGTGTGATGATCAGCGAGCCATACTTACAAAATTGAAATAATAATTTACGTAAAGCGATAGTGGTTAACGGAACTTCACAGCTGAGGTCCAATACAACGTTTACCATCTGCAAAAACTTAAAGTCGAATTTAATCGATTTACCAAGAATATGATGATATAAAAACGATTATAGGTATTCGAATTCCGAAGTATAATTCAAAATTATTTTATTGTTAAAGTCGATAAGTTACCAGATGATATCTAGGAAGTCATTAGGATTTCAATGAATTACAAAACAAAAATTGATGAACATTTTTTTACAATTGAAAAATAAATAAATAATGGTCATCAGCAAATATTGGTGATCCGAGACCTACCAAAAGTTTTCTAAGCGGTCCGTTATTGTGAACCACAGTACTGTAGATAATCGCTGGTTCGCAATCAAATAATCATATTATCTGTATACCTCCGTTTTTGTTATTTTATTTTGTTTTTTTAAAAACTTAGTAGGTATTAACCTACCTCTACCTTAACTAAATATCGTGAATATATTTCAAAACGATGACATTAATATTGTTAAACATTCAAAAAACCTCATTGTCATTGATATAATACAATGTATTATATCACATAGTACAGACACTTAACCCAACCATTAATCGCGTTTCATAAATTATTATATTTCTATTATTATGTCAAATATACAATCATACAAAGTAATACAATCTATACACCAACATCGTTGAAATAAAAAGAATAATTTCATTATTATTATAGTTAACGTGATTTAATAATAATTTATTGTGTAAGTATACATTTGTGTATACAGCGAATAAAGTTCAAACTGAAATCGTATCGTTTGTTTCCGGAAAGCATAAAGTTAATATTTCTTTACAAACACAATAAACATAAATAGCCAATAGGTATGGGTTGTTCGTGTATAGCTAAATATATCATTCTCGAAAGTATAAAAATTAATGCACATAGGTATGTCGTTATAATATGCATTATTAAATATGTACACACCTATTGAAAAATGCATTAGCTACCTAAAATATATAGTATCTATAATATTTTTTTTTTAATCCTGCGCTAAATATCTATAGGGTATTTATAACACAATAAAGCATACGTGTAAATCGACAACTCATACAAATTATGCGTTATGATATTATGATATAAAATTTAAATATATGAAGCGATGATTAAAAAAAAAACTCAAAATACCTAGTATGATTTGCTATGCATTTAAAACTAAAAGATTTAAAAACTTAATCTATAGTCAATATACCCTCTAACCTTCTATAAAACGAAAATATCCTTGATTCTTATTTCATATATTTAATTAGAAAATAAAAATCACGTGTTAAAAATATCGGATATACTTACGTGACTTCCTTGATAGCATATTATATTTATATAATATGTACCTAAGTAAATTATCAGGGTGAACTGGAATGTATTCAAATATAAATTATTCCCATTGATTGATGTGCAAAGTTATATTAAATTAAAAATAAGTAAGTAATTTAATTAGCACCTAGATACAAAAAAACAAAAGTTAAAATAATAATCAGAGCAAGATTTCTGGTAAAATTTGTGTACACAATATAAAAAAAAAAAAAATAAAAATCTTTATAAAACTATTACCTTCTTTGCTACACTCAGAATCAAAAACAACACTATTACAGTGCTTATAGCAAGCCCAACTTATATTTACTATATTTTAATATTAGTAAGTCGTACTTGACTTATAATTAAACGAATAAGACAATTTAAACTCATGAACGGGCCTCTTAATAAGACATCTTCCAAAAGTTCAAAAGTCAAAATTATTTTTAACATTTTAATGACCATCTTAATGATAAGACTTCTACCACTTCTACTGCTACGATACCCATTCAATAAGGGGAAAAGATACGGCCATTTTTATGGACGAATACAACTTCACGGAAATATAGAGATAACTCATTGTCAATTTAAATTTAATTTACCACTTATTTTTTAATTGATAAACAATATAATTTTAAGACCCGCGTTAAACTCCGATTTTTTATTTAATTCTAATGGTTTAAAAAGAGGTCGATAAAAAAGCTTAAAATTAACTTTTTCTAAGGATATATTATAAAGTTTTAGGTTTAAATATTAAAAATCAATAAGAGTTATACAAATTCTTCATTTTCCATCAAATAAATAATCTTTAAAATAGGAATATTATTTTACGAACCCCGGGGTTTTTTTTAGAAAGGCATGTATTTGAACCGAA